AAAAAACCAATGGTTTTCCAACATTTATGTTACATGAGCTCGCGCGAGCTACTTTCGCACGCTCTTGCAACGGGGTTCGCGCGCCTGCCAGGGGCCATAATCCCTTGCGGTTGCGCCATAGGTTGCGCCCTCGGCCGCCGAGAATAAAACGCCCCCCTATTGGTTGCGCCATAGGTTGCGCCCTCGGCCGCTGAGAATAAAACGTCCCCCTACTGGTTGCATCCATGGGCATGGAGCCGCCATGTATGGCTCTGTGGAATGCCTCCCACGACGTCAAGGATGGTATCACCTTGTTCCCGAAGCAGGATCATTGGTGGCACATGCCTGTATGGCGTTCTTTCGGGCAGTCCGAGTATGGGAATGTCATGGATTACCGCGTGGATCTGGGTATGCCGGCGCATGTCCAGGGCGTCCTGGCGGTATTGGCGCCCCACGGACGCACGGGCGATGTGTCCGCGAGGAGGCGCATCGGCACCATGCTGGGACACTTGGCCCCTGATGTATGGGTGCCAGGAGCGCAGCTTGCAGTATTGCGCCCGATGCGTGCCATTAGGGACAGGCGCATGCCAGAAGACGATGAGCACACAGACTCGTCTCTTTAGTATGCTTCCAGAGCACGTATGCGTCCGCCTCGCCTTGTCCTGCTGCTCCTCCTCCTCCTCCTCCTCCTCCGGCGGGGCACCCATGGGGACAACCATCGGGACCACCATCGGAACAACCATCGCGGCAACCATGGGGACAACCATCGGGACAACGATCGGGACAACCACAACCATCAGGACAACCATCGGGACAACCATCGGGACATCCATCGGGACAACGATCGGGACCACCATCGGGGCAACCATCGGGAGAACCATCGGAACAACAATCGGGACAATCATCGGGACACTCATCGCGACAATTATCGGGACAACCACAACCATCAGGACCTCCAACCAGAGAGAGGTAGTCACGTGTATTTCGTCGACGAGTGAGCCAGTATTGCACATTGAGGCCGGAACGAGAACCACAGAACAAGAATGAGCATATATCGTCTCACAACAACGGAAACAAGTCCTGTGGTATGCTGGCGCCACGCACGTGATACCAGTCAAAATAAGGGTCTTGGCTTGTGTGGTACAGAAACGTTAAAACGTCGGAAAACGGTACACGTGCCCATTGTTGGAACAGGGGTATAAGTCGTATACTAAGCTAGTTTCCACAAGATGTTACCACAAGAAGTCATTGTAACCATGCGCCAGTGTAGTAGCCAAGGTCGTCCGCAGGCCACGAAGTGAAGTGTCCGAACGTCATAGGGCGGGAAGCTGGGTGTGGGTGGTGGCGAAGAGTCGTTTGGAAACTTGGTAGAGCTTGAACCGGCCCCCCCACAAAGTGGGGGCATTGCCCGCCTCCTATGAAAACCCTGGCACTGGTGAGAACGGAGTGTCCCCAGTCTTAAATGATTGTTGTTGTTGTTGTTGTTGTTGTTGTTGTTCGAGGCCTTCCCCATACGTGGTGTCCGAGCGGGTTTTTATGTCGGGCATGTCCCCCTACACGGGGAATGTTCAAACCATAGCCAAAACAAAATAATACTGGGACGACGCCTCTATCATGTTTTCATATGGTTTAACTCTGTTTCCTTGTTCGTCCGAGATCCGCCTGTAGGAGGACATGCCCGACCTGAGAGAAGCTGGGGTCGGGGGATCGCGCCCCAGCGCCGATGCGTCGGCGATGCGGCTCGATGTGGAGCCAGAGGTTCTCCGCGCCGACGGCGCCGACGCATCGCCGACGCCGCCGATGCGTCGCCGATGCGTCGCCGATGCATCGCATCGGTGATGCGGTGCATCGGCAATGCGGCGTGATCCTCCGAGCCCAGCTACTCCAGTGAAGGGGGGTGCAGGAGGAGCAGCAGCTAGAGCGGGAGGGCGGGGAATTTGGAGGGAGATCAAAAGCTGCATGCCAAGCGTGAGGTCCGAACGGGCGAGAACATTCAGCAGTCCTCCGTGGCAGTGCATGTCGCGTCGGAGTTTGATTCATTGGAGCACGCGCTGCTCGGGGCAGAGCCCTGGGTCTTGGGCCGAAGCGGCTACGGAAAAGGCACGCTCTGCAGCCCCGACCGTAAACGGGATCTCTCTTCGCGCAGCGGTGAGGGAGGAAGAGGGCGGAGGATGAGGAGAAGAGGGACGAAGACGGGGTACAGTCAACCCGCATAAAAAGGATGGGCAAGTTTCCCAAGGGTCCCATTGCATCCTTGCCTCTTCGGTCCGTACTTGACCGCTTTCGCTGGCCGCGCCCCGCTCGCGAAGTGTCGACATGGCATTTCAAGGCCCTTGCATCCATCCCGCACATCCTTACTATGCTGCTTGACTGTAGTCTCCGAAGCCTCCACGGGAAACATTGGAGGGCGCCTTGAGGATTCTAATTTGGTGATCGACATACAGGCACGGATCAACAGCTCGCTCACCGAGGGAACGGTGCTGCCTATCTTGCCAGCGCTTGGCGGACACATGGTTCGTAAGATTGACGGAGGAGGGTACGGCGCTAGAGGTGATGTGAGCGTCGGAGGAGGACAAGGTACACATATTTCTACCCTTCCGTCGTTTTCCCCTTTCTGGCCCTCCTGGGAGGCCCTCGTCGTCACCGCTGGATTCGCATCGAAATTCTGCTCAGAACGCACCTGGGGAGAGGTCTGGGGAGTAGCGGTATTGGTACCTTTTGGTTTCCTAAGAGCGTCCCTAGATTGCTCTTCTGCCGCTCTCTGTCCTGCCCCCTTTCCTCTCTCATTCGCCCTTGCCGCCTCGTCCCCTCTCCCCCCTGCAGCGGCCGAGTTACAGACACAACGACCGCTTCGGAGAGGGAGCAGCAGGGAACCCACAGTTCGAGCAAGCGGAGAAAGAGAGCTGAATTGGGAGGGGAGGGCCTTAGAGGAGGGAGGCGGGAAAGGGACAGCGGAGGAGGAGGAGGATGTGGGTGGGTGGGGGGGAATTGGGAATAGGATAGGGCAGGACAGCGTCGGGGGGGAAGGAGCGGGGGACCTCGAAGCTCTCGGTAGTTTCTTATTATTATTACTATTATTATTATTATTGTTGTTATTATTGTTATTATTATTATAATTATTATTATTATTATTATTATTATTATTATTAGTAGTAGTAGTAGTATTCGTGTTTCTTTCCCTCTTGCTCTGTATTTGCTCTGTTCCTCTCTCTCTCTCTCTCTCTCTCTCCTCACACATGCCCCCCATGCCTCCCTATCTCTCGATTCATAGGCGTGTATATGTTTTGGTCAGTGGGTATACGTGAATGTATCTGCGAATACGAGTGTATATGAACCTTGGTTATGTCTTGTATGTGTCGTGTACCAAGATATGTCCATTATATCTGTACATGACTCGATGTTCTCTCAAGCCCTCTCTCCCTGCCTCTCCCTCTGTCTATCTCTCTCTCTCTCTCTCTCTCGTAAACTCTCTCTCTCTCTCTCTCTCTCTTTCTCTCCTCTCTCTGTACAGATGCATTCATATGTAAATATTTATATATGTATATATACATCTATATCTATATACACACATACATTATAGACATGAAGCCATATGTAGGTGGTGTTTTCCCTTTTGTCTCCCTGCAAGTAGACATATGAAGTTCTCTGTATAGATGTAACTGGCTGCCGTTCTGAATGTATATACATGCGCATACAAATGTATGCGTGCGCTTGTAAAACCAACTATGCCGCATGCATAATTATTTGTGTACATACCGATGTATGTTTATATGCGTGTGCCAGAGTTCAACATCTACTTAATTGCACCAATCACAGTACCGAATTAGACATGTGCAACCCAGACGTTATCTCGTCTGTCTTCCTACTTCCCATCCCGACCACTATGTATAGTTTCGTGTTTACTACTACATGTGCATACGGGTGTACACGTACAAATGTATACATATATCTTAAACAGAAACATATGTACATATACCCACATATGTGTATATACCATACCCATACGCTCTGTATGCGTAATGATTTCTCTGACCGAGATCAAGGTCTCTCTCTCTCTCTTTCTCCCTGTCTCTATCTCGCTCTCTGTTGTGTCATATTTCTCGTTGTATCCATATATAAAAATATATATATGTATATATTTATATATACATATATATATAGATATATATATCACTCTGTCTTGTTCTTCCTCGCTCACGGTTTCCCAGATCCCAGTTCTTCCGGGTCTTGGGTCCTGTTTCCTGGTTCCCAGCTCCCGATTCCCAGCTCTCGGTTCCCGGCTCCCGGTTCCGGGTTCTCGATTTTGGGTTCCCCGTTCCCGGTTCCCCGATCCCCGCTAGAGCTCCAAACTCCTGGACGGTTCCCAGTTTCCCGGTTCTCGGTTCCTCGTTCCCGGTTCCGGTTCCCGGGTTTTTGGGTCCCGGTTCTCGGTTCATGGCTCCAGTTGTTCCCGGGTTCCCAGTTCCCGGTTCTTTGTTCTCCTGTTCCCTTGTTCCAAGTTCCCAGTTTCCGATTCCGACTTGCATCATGGTGAGCGGAGCGAGTTTTGATCAGTTCGCACGGCATAGCGTGTCGCCGTACCGCCTCCACGACATGGAAAGCCAAAAGTTCCAGCCGCGTTACCAGAAGCAGCTTCTCACCCATCGTCGCCATCATCATCATCATCATCATCATCATCATCATCATCATCATCATCATCACCATCATCACCAGCATCAGCACCATCACCATCACCATCACCATCATCATCATCATCATCATCATCATCATCATCATCACCACCATCGTGATGGTCGTCGCCATGATCACCCTGTCCTTCAATCACCTGGAAAGATGTCGACGGAAGGGCAGCAAACATGCACAGCAGATCTCGTCACCGAGCGTCCGACCCAGGCCCCCGACGTCATGTTTGTTTCACAACGTCAACTCCTAGAGGTCTCGACCCCTTCCCCGGGACCAGCCTTTCACTCAGAGTAGTTGTTTTCTTCGCCCCGAGGCCCTGCAACGGCGAACAACATTGCAGCCCTGATTTTTTCAGGACGCGAGGCGGCCGTGGGGAGGCCCAGACCCTCGGGCCCCGGAGCAGCGGAAAGGACGACCTCGAGGCCACGAACCTCGACCGGACGGACATGCAGCCGGGCGCTCAGAGGGGCGCGCGCGTTGCCAGCGCGTGCAGCCCACGGCCGAGGGTGCGCGGCGGTTTTTGCGGGGGCGCGCGACGAGTTCGCGTGAGGGATGAGGACGATCGAGCCTGGAGCGAGGATCGAGGAGGAAGAGGAGGAGGAGGAGGAGGAGGAGGAGGAGGAGGATCGAAGAGGACTGAGGCTCGGGGCGGAGGGGGAGGGCTGAGGAAGGAGGACGAGGGTCTTGTCTCGGAGGTGGTCGAGGATCGGGGCTCGGGGGGCTGGCCGTGAGCTGGGGGAGGGGAGGAGGTGGAGGGGGAGGAAGAGGAGGAGCAGGAGCAGGAGGAGGAGGAGGAGGAGGAGGAGCAGGAGGAGAGGGACCCAGGGAGAACGAGAGCATCACGAGGGAGGTGGCGTAGGAGGAGGAGGAGGAGGAGGAGGAGGAGGAGGAGGAGGAGGAGGAGGAGGAGGGAAGGTGGAGGAGGATGAGGAGGAGCAGGATGGGAAGGAGGAGGAGGAGGAGGAGGTGGAGGTGGAGGCGGGGAGGAGGGGAAGGAAGAGGAGGAGGAGGCGGAGAATGAGGAGGAGGAGAAGGACCAGAGTAAATTCAAGATGCGTCAGTCGATGGTGCAATACACCTCTGTCCCAAGTCCCATAGTCAGACCATGAATGTTCTCCTTCCCACTACGGGCAACCCCCTGAATGAGGAGTGGCAACACGATACGCGTGCACTCGTTCATCAAAAATCGTTCATTTGCACGAACTCTACTCCTACAACAAAGGGGCGGTGTGCACACGCGCGCGTTGTCGCGCGCGCATCCCGAAATCGGCCCAACAACTTTTTAGACCCCGTCCGGATGTCAAAGTCGAGTTCCCGGAACACATGTTAAAACCACATGGTTTTGCAAGATCAGTTTTCGAAAATAATGTATGTGCGCGCATTCTTGCGAATGGTTACATGGTTACTCAACATCTAAACACATTCGACCGAACGAGCCTTTCGCGCGCGCATATCGACATCATTCGAACGCCCTTGCGCGCGCGGGGGGGCACGATCCATTTCAAATGACTCCATGCGGGCCAATCGCGCCCGTCGGCCGCGCGCGCATGCCAAAATCTTTCTACAACTTGTATTACAGACGCGTGAACACCATCATCGTCATCAGCGTGATCAGTAGCGGCGCCGTCATTGCCTTCGCTCTTGTCATCGTCATCGTCATCGTGGTCACCTGCATCACACTGTAATCATCGTGCCTGCCGCTGTCGGCGTCGCCATGGTACCGCGCCCGCCCGAGTCACCGACTCGCACTGACGTGCCCGCGCGTCATCGCGGCTTGCGGGACGCGCTGGGAATTGGCGCCACCGCCGCCGCGTCGGTCGCGCCAGACTAGCTGGCCGCTCTGCGCGCGAGCCTGCGCGCGCTAGCGCGGCCGCAGCGTCACGCCAGCCAGCGCCAAGCAGCCATCGCAATCGCCGCCGCATGGGTTTGCAAACCAAGTTCCGGGTGGGTGGGTGGGATGTTTGCGAGCAGAGGAGTTGACAATTTCAAGTTTGGTGGGGTGCGTTTTCCGTTTTCAAAGAGTTATAGGATCTATTCCCCCCGTCGGACGTAACCGCTCCCTTGTTCGTACTGCAATATACATGCGAGTCTGCCCCTTCGTCAACCCGTAATATGAATTCAGATCGCCGCAGCCAATTTCTAGCACACCATTTCACCCCGCACAAAAATCATTATGCGCACACTCGGCGTTCAAAGTCACAAGCTTTCAATAACACCTTGCACAAACAAAGTTACGAAACGCATGCGCGCGCGCGTCGTCGCGCGCGCATGCCGGAATCCTTCAACAGCTCAGGTGTCCGAAGGATTTCAAAAGCGAGCGGCCCGAGTCACTGGACTCGCCGTCGTCGATGGCATCATCGTCACCAGCACTGCTACTACCATCATCGTGTCTACCTTAGTCGACGTTGCCATAACACTGCGCCCGCCCAACTCGCCGACTCCCACCAAAGTGCCCGTTGTGAAGTTCCCAGCGGCCAGCGCCACCGCGGCCGCGTCGGTCGCGCCAAACTAAGTGGCCGCTTCGCGCGCAAGCATGCGCGGGCTAGCGCGGCCGCAAACGTTGCACCAGCCAACGCCAAGCACTCCTCGCAATCGCCGCCGCATGGGCTGTGCAACCCAAGTTGCGGGTGGGCGGGCGGGATGGTTGCGCGAGCAGTGGCGTTGACAACGCATTGCGGACAGAAATTCATTGATCACCAAGAATGCACCACGCCGGTTGCACCAGATAGATTGCACTACCTGGGTCGCACAGGATGTTTTCTTTGTCTGGACTCTAGAAAGAGTTCGGATCCACCAGCCTCCCGAGGCTGCACTTATCCGACCCCCTGGGAACTCGCAGTCTACACGCGAATTTGCCCCATCAATCATTCGAAACATGAATTCCTGCTAGCCCAGCCGAACGGGCATCGACCCCCCCCCCGACCCCGCCCCTCGCAAGAAATACCATGCGCGCGCATTCCCTCATCTTCAAAGATATGCTGCCAAGAAGCCTAAGCAGGAAATGTGACGAAGTGCGCACGCGCGCGTCGTCGCGCGCGTATCCAGAGCAACAATTGCAGATTCCGTCGGGATTTCGAAATCGAGTGCCCCGAAATCAGGTCAAACAGAGGAATTGTCCGCAATTGGGTTTTCATGCAACCTTGCGTCCGCGCCCCTGCGAACTCATAGGGAAAACCATCGCTGTGTTCAACAGGTTCATCAAATGCGACCAAACGTGTCCCTTTTTCGCGCGCGTGTCGAAATCATTCGAAAATCGTTGCGCGCATGCTGTCGCGAGAATCCCCTGCAAAAGCTGGACGACGCGCGCGCATGCCGAAACTGTTGTTTTCTTTTTTTTTCCAAACCGAAGGTTGGTTAAGGATGTCAAAACCGAGTGTCGCGAACACATGTTTTCATTGTTGTGTGTATCTATACGCAGTGAGTGTCGCAACCGAGTTTGTTCAAACAAGCTTGCGTTCGCTCTCTGCGAATTCTAAAGAAAACCATTGGTTTCCCAACACTCTCATCATATGGTAGCGCACCTCTCGCGCGCGCATGTCGAAATCAGTCGGACGCCCTAGCGCGTGCTGGGGGGGCCCACTCCGTGTCAAATAGTGTCATGATTGTTGCGCGCGCGTCGACCGCGCGCGCATGCCGAAATAGTTCCAAAACTTAAATCACCGACGCGAGGACACCTTTATCGTCACCGTGATCAGCATCGGCGCCGTCATTACCCTTGCCGTCGTCATTGTCATCATCGTCACCAGTGTTGTATCATCATGGCGTCTGCAGGTGTCGACGTCGAAATGATGCCGCGCGCGCCCGCGTCACCGATTCGGACTGATGTGTCAGCGCGGCCTGCGAGACGCGCTGCGAGGTTCCCAATTGTCAGCGCCTCCGCGGCAGCGGCGGCCGCTCCGAGCTAGATGGCCGCACCGCGCGCAAGCTTGCGCGCGCTAGCGCAGCCGCAGCCATGCATCAGCTAGCGCCAAGCAGCCATCGCAATCGCCGCTCATGGGTTTTGCAAGCAAGATTGCGGCTGGGCGGGTGGGCGAGCACGAGAGGTGGTCACGCGCAAGGAAGCCAAATTTAATTGCACCACATAGATTGCACCACATATGTGGCACAACATCGATTGCACGACCAAACTTGCACTTGGCAGATTGCACCACATAGGTTGCACGACGTAGATTGCACCACGCAAATTGCACCACGTCGATCGCACCACATAGATAGCGCACCACACTCATTGCCATGTATTGCGCCGAATACATGGGACAACCAGAACATTTTGATTCAAGCGATCGCACGGCCCTGCCTCTGCGCCCCAGCGGTGCGGACGGCGGTGCCTATAGAGGGGCCATCACCGCAGCCGACGGCGCCGTCCTTGTGGACGCGGCGGTCCAGGCTGCTGTCGGAGCCTGAGCTCCGCGGCGTACCGCCGGGGCGGTGGCGCGCGCGGCTGCGGCGGCGGCGGTTTCCGCCGTCGCCCGCCCGACGCCCACAGCCGCTGCGGCTGGTGCTGGCGCTGAGGAGCTTGGCTAGGATGCGCCGAAGCGCGCCCCCTCGGAGGCGCAGCGGGAGCGCCGCCACCGCCGTCGCCTGCGTTTCGCGGCTTGGCGCGCGGGTAGGCGGGGCGCTGGCTTGCGCGCTCTCGAGGCTTGGGGTGTCGACGGCGACGACGTCGAGGACGGAGGTGGAGGCCCGGCTCCTGCGGCTGCCCCCGGAAGCTTGCAGCTGGAGGCGGTCGCCCCGCGGCGCGGCGTCGATGACGGCTACGGCGACGACGACAGCTTGCACGATTCGCGGGCCGATGGTGCGCGGCCAGCGCTGGAGGGAGGGGCCGCTGCTGCCGCTCCTGGAGGCGCGGCCCGCGCACCGCCGTCGTCCGGGGAGTGCAAGGGCGGCGTCGAACGGGGGGGGCTGCCCTCGACGGCGCGGCCGCGGCGGAGCTGGCGGAGCCACTGGCGGCGACGCGAGGCTTCCCCCCCCCCGCGGGGCGCGAGGGTGCGGGCGCTGATGGGCCCCGTGGCTTGGCGCTCTGGCCGCGCGCACACCTCGGGTTCAGGCGCCACGGCCATCCGCTTCGACCGCGTCGGGAGTGGCGGCAAGACCAAGGGCAAGCCCCAGCAAGCGGCGCTGGGTTTCGACGACTTCGTGGAGTGCGGCGAGGGCTAGCGTCGCGCCGCCGAGTCGGCGTGAGGCATGCGAGCCGAGTCGGCGTGGGGCGCCTGCCTGCTGGCAGAGAGCTCCTAGGGGGGAGCAGGCGGGGCGCTGCTGGCCGCGGTGCTGGGTGGCCCTTGCCTAGGCCTGGCGTGGCGTGCTGGGCCGTCGTGCTCGATTTTTTCGGCGCGAGTGGGCCCCCACAGGAGCCTACGAACCGCGCGCCCTCTCGCGTTGAGGTGGGGTGCGCGGTCGGTGTGCAACAGGAATTGCCCAACATAGATTGCACCACGTATACTGCATCACATAAATTGCACCGCGCAGATTGCCCCAGAAAGACTGCGCAACCTAGACTGCACATAATAGACTACGCAGCATACATCGCACAATATAGTGAGCATGTATGCATACAATGCACCACAGATAGCCTGTTCCACGTAGTTTACACAACGTAGAGCGCCAGAAGCACAACGCGTGGGATCCACGCTGGCGAACAGCAAGACGAAGCCCGGCGCTAAAGCGAGAACCACATAGAAAAGGAGCTGGCCTCCACCCGAAATAGGAGGAGGAGGAAGAGGAAGAGGAGAGAGGGGAGGAGCAGGAGCAGGAGGATGAGGAGGAGGGGGAGGAGGGGGAGAAGGAGGAGGACGAGGACGGGGAGGAGAAGGAGAAGGCGGAGGAGGAGGAGGAGGGCGGGGAGGAGCAGGAGGGTGAGGAGGAGGAGGAGGAGGAGGAGAACTCAATTCCCATGTGCTCAAGTGTGGCAGGCGCCATTGGCTCAAGCCTGATGCCCCGCTTCCTTGCGCGCATGCTCCGGGGCTGAACCGCCGAATGGTGTCTTCATTTGAGCGCCGATGGCGAGCAAGTTGCTGTCATCGTGTGAGCGCCGGAGGAGAGCCAGGCTGCCTCGCAGCATGCTGTACCAGTACATGTTGGAAAGATGTTGTTTGTCTTTGCTGTCATCCATCGTCGTCTTGTATGTTGCTGTTTATTTGCGCCCGAGGGATACCCAAGGATCTGCGGCGCATCTCGGCAATAGCTTTCGGCGTTTGGAGGCTGCTCATGCTGATGTTCCGCTGTATTCGTGGTTGCTTGCACACCCCTTCTTTGATGTGGCGCGTCCTTGGGGTGGCGATGCACTGTTTCGGTCACAGTGGTGGCATGCTTTGCATTTGTTTTGCCACAGATTCCAAAGCTCCTCACCATGGGCCTCCAGCCTGGTCATGGGGCTTGTTGCACGTTTTTGAACTGGCCAAGGTCTTTTTCTCCCTTGGCGGCGAGGCAGTCCCTGGGTTGGTGGTTGGATAGGCAGTTGTTTCATTCAGCTTGCAACATCGAGGTTGGGGGGTGCACGAGGGTATTTCTGCAGAAGGGCCGGGTGGTGGTGCGCCGTCAATGTATGTGTCAATGGTGGCAATGGTTTTGCTGTATGCGTTCCAATGGCTGCGGTCTTGGAGTACGATAAAGCAAGCCTGGTTTCCGCCTGGTTCTGGGTGCTGTTTTTGTTTCGTCGTGTACTTATTCGGCTTCTATCTGGAGGAGCAGATGTGGGGGGTTGGCCACTGGCCTGCCCTTCTGCAACGCATCGAAAACATGGGAGGAGGAGGGGAAGGAGGAGGAGGAGGAGGTGGAGGCGGAGGAGGAGGAGGAGGAGGAGGCGGAGGCGGAGGCGGAGGGGGACGCGGGGGAGGGTGAGGGGGAAGAGAAGCAGGAAAAGGAGGGAGAGAAGGAGGGGGAGGAGGGGGAGGAGGAGGCGGGGGAGGTGGAGGACGGCGAGGAGGAGGATTCAGGACGCAGGTTTCAAGATTCGCGGGGAGATTCTACAAGAGCCCCTCGGACGTGCAGCGTTCCAACGCAGGCTGCTGGCCAGCTCAATTGGATTGTGCGTCGAGGATAAAAACGTTGGCTGTCGGCGCAACAAGCCGACATATTCGATGTAATGGACGCCTTGTGTGTGGGGGCGTTGTTTGTTTGCGAGGCTTGCCGCGCAGCGAGCAAGCATATTATCCCCACAAGCAGGCTCCCTTTTTATCATAGACGGGAGGAGGAGGAGGAGGAGGAGGAGGAGAAAAAAGGAGAAGAAAGAGGAGGATGACGACGAGGAGCAGGAGGAGGAGGAGGAGGAACAAGAAGGGGGGAGGCGGGAGAGGAGGAGCAGGAGGAGGAGACGGAGGAGGAGGAGGAGGCGGAGGAGGAGGAGGAGGAGGAAGAGGATTAGTGCAAGCGCAAGATTGATCAACGATTTGGGCATAAACCCTCCCTCCAAGCTTCCCCGTCACAGGACCCATACAAGGGTTCAGTTCCAGTGAGGGAAGTGCCACGCTAGGAGGCAGCAGTCTGAAGATCCCGGAACGTACCAGGACACCATGATCGGGACTCCAACGCCACGAATGAATTTGACAATTGCGGCGCTACGGTTCTGGATCGTGCCAAGACACACATCCTGGGATTCCAACGCCGCGAATCAACGTCACAGTTGCGTTTTGATAGTCTTGAATATTTCCAAAACACCCTGTTTGGTACGGTAACCATGCGAATCCGCAAATTTTCTGCAAGTCTTTAAATGATTGCGCGCAGCGTCAAGGCGAGAACCACATGTTGAAAGCTGCCCGCCCTCAGCCCGCGAATCGGTTTATACGAATGTGCGCGGCAAGAAGGCGAGAGCCACATTTTGAAAGCGGTCCGCCCTCAATTCGTGAAAGCAGTGCAAAGTGTTAAGACGAGTGTGCGCGGCGTTCAAGGCGAGAGTCACATGCTGAAATCCGCTAAACTCTTGCAGATTGCTAAGACGCATGTACGCGGCGCTACGGCGAGAACCACAAGTTGAAAACCACCGGCCCTCCATCTGCGAAATTGTTGCGAGGTGAGGAAGTATCAGGCGAAACGCCCAGCCCGCCTTTTAAACTGGCTTCGGGGAGCGACAGAGAGAAGTTGTTTACAAGGATATGGATGGGGCAGGAGGACTAGGAGTAGGAGGAGGAGGAGGAGGAGGCGGGGGCGGAGGAGGAGGAGGAGGAGGAGGAGGAGGAGCAGGCAGGAGGGAGGAGAAGGAGGAGGAGGAGGAGCAGGAGGAGGAGGAGGAGGAGGAGGAGGAAGGGGAGGCGCAGGAGGATGAGGAGGAGAAGGGGGAGGAGGCGAAGGAGGAGGAGGAGGAGGGGGAGGGTAATGGGGATTGGGATGGGGAGGATGAGCGGGAGGAGGAGGGGGAGGTGGAGGGGGAGGAGGGGGGGAGGAGGATGAGAAGGAGGATGAGGAGGAGGACGATGAGGGGGAGGAGTCAGGACCCAGGACTCAGAGTCCGCAGAAGGGTACTACAAGAGCCCCTCGGCCGTGCAGAGCTCGAGTGCAGGCTGCGGCCCAAAAACGCCCACTTGGAGTGGGCGTGGGAGGTACAAGACCGCTGTCGGCGCGGTGAGACGACGTATTCGATAGAACGGACGCCTGTGTGCGGGGGGGGCGCCCCTTGATCCAGGCGCCCGTGAGTGCCCCAGGGCGCCCTCAACCCCCCCCCAGCCGCCGAGGTCTGGACGCTCGCGCTCGTCGGGCTCCTCGAGCGTGGACGAGCCTCAGTTTTTCGAGGACCGCGGTCGTCTCCGTCCGTGTCCTCGTCCTCGTCCTCGTCTTCGTCTTCGTCGTCATCTTCATCGTCGTCTTCATCTTCGTATTTGTCGTTGCCTTGGTCCTCGTTTTCGTCGTGTTTCCCGTCCGGGGGAGGCGTGGGTGGAGGGACAGGAGAGGGAGGAGGTGGAGGAGGGGAGGAGGAGGAGCGGATGCTGGCCCACCAGCGGGTGCGCAGACTGCAACACGTCATCGTCCACTGTCTCCTCATCTCGGAGACTGAAACGTAACGTCGCCCTCCTCCGGACGGCCCTCGGCGACGGCGGCCAGGCAGTTCAGTTCGCCAGCTCGGCCCGCGAGGCCCGTGGGAGCCAGAGCGGGCCCCCCCACTGGGGCTTGGGCGGGGCCTCCTCCTCCTCCTCCTCCTCCTCCTCCTCCCCCTCCCCCTCCTCCTCCTCCTCCTCCTCCTCCTCCTCGCTCTCGGGAGCGAGTCGGCTGGCTGCCTCGGCAAGCCGCGACCCCCGAGATGAGATTATTGAGAGGCCCAGCTGCGGCCTCCACGTTGGGTGCGGCCTCCCCGGGCCTCAGAGGAGGAAGAGGTACCCATAGCTCTACGCCTTCGCCCATTTCCCCATGTTGTCGGCCTCCCGGGAGGCCCTCGTCGCCACCGCTGGATTCGCCTCTCGAAATCCTGGTCAGAACGCACCCTGGGAGAGGTCCGGGGAGTAGCGGTATTGGTACCTTCTGGTCTCCCCAGGGCCACCGTGGGGTGTGGGAGAAGACACTGTGGTTCCTCCGCTCCCAATCTCGCATGCAGGCGTGGGTTCGCCCCACATCTGAGTGGCCCTCCGCTCCCAAGTTCATGCAGATGTAGGCTCGCACCACATTCCCTTGAGAGCTGCACGCACTGCTATGCTGCACTGCTGTTGACTGCGTGTTGGTTGCATAGCAAAGAGCGTTCTAAGCACTGGCGAAAATTCTGACCAGAATGCGGGAAACGTTTTCCGGTCAGTGGCCCCTTTGGGCCCCGCGGCGATGTCCCGGCCGCGTGGCCGATGGCGTCACAGCATGAAACTCGTCAGACCCCCTGGTTCTACGTTGTTGCGTCCTACGTCGGCGGACGGGCGTCCAGACCGTTACTAGCCGAACTGCAAGCGACGCAAGGTGTGGGAACCTCCATCCCCACTGGGATGGCACAATTTCCTACCGCCTCCGAGCAACCCGCCCGCCCTGCCAGTGACGGTGAGGCGGACATGCAAGTGCATGCCCCAGTAAAGCCTGGAAATGTTATTGCAAGTGCCTTCACGTGGGGAGCCCAGAATTTCTAGCGCAAGTGAAAGTGGCTGTATTGATATCCACAAAAACAATGCACCTTTTAACAGGTTTAACGCCGTTCTGCTGCGCAGTCACCACACACACACTCACGAGGACGAGGAGGAGGAGGAGGAGGAGCAGGAGGAGAAGCAGGAGGAGGAGGAGGAGGAGGCGGAGGAGGAGGAGGAAATGGAGGAGGAGGAGGAGGAGGAGGAGGAAGGGGAGGGTGAAGGGGGAGGGGGAGGAAGGAGGAGGAGGAGGAGGAGGAGGAGGAGGAGGAGGAGGAGGCAGTGGAGGGTGGAGGGGAGGGGCGAGGGGCCGGGCGAGGGAGAGGGGGGAGGGCGTGGCGAAGGGAATGGGGAGGGAGGGGAAGGGGGGAGGGGAGGGGCGGGGGGCGGGGACGGAGGAGGGCGCGGGGTCGACGGACGGGAAAGGGAGGAGAGGGGGGGAGGGACGGAGGGACGGAGGAGGAGGAGGTGGAGGAGGTGGAAGGAAACTGGGCGGGTGCCGCAGCAGGGAAGCAACAGCCCCGCTTCCGCGCACCGCGTTTGCCTGCTCAGCAAGCCCGACGTGTTGGAGGATACTTGTCGACAGGTCGAGTCAGACCTGGGCAGATCAGCATTGGTTTACGGGAACAAGCAACGACATAAACATAGAATTTCGAAGGTCCTCGCGGATTTCTCGGATCGGCGCTGGCGGCCCCCCGGCGCCGATCCGAGGAACCCGCGCGGACCTCAGAGATGTTTGTTGTTTCTGTCATTGCTTGCTCCCCGAATTATGATTAGTTGTTGCCTTTCCAGAAAGGCCCCAGACCTCTTCGTGCCTTATGATGCTCCAACCTACTCTAGCCTTGATCACCAGAACGAATGTCGAGCACCAAGCAAGCACCGTAACTGGAGGGTTTGCGCGTGTCGGGACTTGGGAGGCGATACTCGTTCGACACTGCTTCGATACTCTTCTGGGTGCTCGAAATCATTTTTGGGATGTGGGCTTTGATTTTAAGTCGGACCTCTCCCTCTACAGGAGGAATGTTCGAACATAGTTAAAAAAAATAGTCTGGGAACGATGTTTGGACAACTGTTGCATATTTTTGACGACTTTCAAGTTTTCGGTCAAAATCCGGCTGTAGGTCGGCATGCCCGACCTAAGCTTAAGCACGATGGGAGCAGGAGAACTCGCGCCGTTGAAGCATCGCGGCAGCCAGTTGTTGCACGAGCTTCGGCTCTGCTGGGGCCCTGGCGTGGGGCAGCGTCACCGTGGCAGAAGCTGCCTCGGGGCGCCCCGTTGAGCGGCCGAGCTCTCCTCTCGGGACCGCGCCGTGTGAAGCTCGGAGCCGCGGGGGGCCCGGGAGCCCCGAGGAAGAGCGAGGTCAGGCCCGCTCCTGAGCAGGTGCACAGCAAAGGCTGCACGGAGCAGGGAAGATACGCCCGTCTCTTCCCCTTCCTCCTCCTCCTCCTCCCCCTCCTCCTCCCCCTCCTCCTCCTCCTCCTCCTCCTCCTCCTCCTTCTCCTCCTCCTTCTGCTCCTGGCAGTCGAGAAAGATACTCGGCCGCCATCCGGATGTTTGTTTTGGCGGCGAGGCTACTTGGATGCGAGTTCTTCGGCGATGCCTTGGCGGAGCTAAGGCAGCTGTTCGAGCTCCTAGGTTTGCAGGAGCGCTGCGTACTCTACGTATGGTCTGGAGGATTCTGGACACGTAGCAGGATACAGCAGGCAGGCTACCAGATTTCCCCAGCATGCCCATGGTGCCCACAAGGACTTCCAGATACTGTTGGTCACCAGATCTATGACTGCCCCAGGCTCTACGAGGACACGTCAGACGAGGACCTCCACTGGGACCCCAAGCTGGACCCGGAGTATTGGTATCTGCGGGAGACAGGGATCATTGGGCTTGGGCCAAATGATTGGGACAAGTTTGAGATGTGTATCGGCATGCTGTTGGCTCCCCCAGCGCTCCAGAAGATGCCCAACAAGATGCTTGTGGTGTGCTGGGGAGGCTGGGAATCTAGACGGGATTCACGATCGACGGTTGTGTTCACTGATGGTTCTGGAATGGCCCCCGGCTGGACAGAGCATCGTAGATGTGGATAGGGGGTTCTGCCAGTTAGGAGACAACGGTATGCTTGTTCGAGGAGCCTGGGGAGCGCTGCCAGGTCCGATCCAAACAGTAGGCCGTGCGGAACGCATGGCACTGCTGCAGGCGCTCAGGCTGCTCCCCAAGGTTTCGCTTGTGGTGACTGGCTTACTTTCGATGGTGGATGATGGCGTTGCCTGGCACCAAGACCAGGCAGTCGGACAAGCCACCTGTGCTGATAGATGGCGTGGTATATGTTCTGAAGTTGGAGATCGACCACCGCCAGAATTGTGTTGGATCCCAGTGCACATGTCACTGGAAAAAAGGCTCTCGATGTCAGACACCCCTTCGACTTCTATATCGGCAACGGATGGGCTGACTGGTTCGCGAAATGGGGGGCTCTCGAGCATGCGCTACCAGAGTGTCTGGTCCTGAATCATGAGACGCTGCTCTCGCACGCCAAGCTCCAGGCCAGGTTATTCGGGTGGGTGGCGGCGAAGATTGCGTATCGAGATGGTGAAAGTGAGAGGCCCGCCCGTTCGTACAGACCCTCCACTCAGGGACCCCCGAGGTTGAGCCTCACGGCCCAAGAGATGGCCAGTCGAGTTTTGAAGAAATGCCGTGTGCAGCAATGTAAACGATGCCTAAGTGTAGTTAGGACTCCTGCCAGCTTGGCCAAACTGCTCAGTTCCCCATCTGCCCCAACCCCTCAGCAGTGTTTGATGAGGTCCAGGGACACAGTTTTGATGCAGGCTCCTAGTGCTCGTTCCCAGGCTGTCGCTGCGGCCCGACAGTGGGCTGACGGTGTAGATGGATTGGGCCTGTAGAGTGGGGGATCCGCTCAGGGCGAATCGTCGGTGTCGCCGCCTGATGCCAACGTCGAGCTGCGACGGCACCAGGTGCTGGTGTCCCACGGTGCCATGGTGTGCACCCTGTGTGGTTCCTATCAGACGTCTTTTCAGGCGGCCAACTGTAACCTGGGCGAGGATTGCAAAGGGCCGTCCCAGGAACCCCAGGCCAGATATAGGCGGCGATATAATATCAAAGCCGTACAGTCTGGCAAGCACCCCAAGACGGGGAAGCCACCTGGCTAAGTATATTAGCTATGGCCCGTGCGCCACTCCTCTGCTGCTGTCCTCCTGCTCCTCCTCCGCCTCCTCCTCCTCCTCCTCCTCCTCCTCCTCCTCCTCCTCCTCCTCCTCCTCCTGTCGTCGATACCCCCACGTGCCGATCGGCAGGGCCTCCTTCTCTCGGCCGCGCGCGCGTGAGCGCGATCCTTTCGCCGGAGCGGCCCGTGCTGCGCGGCTTCCGGTGGGGGGGGCCAGGGCGCGGCCGGGCCAACGCACGCACGGCCGCCACCGCCGCACCGCCTGCAGCGATCGGCAGGCCGCGCACCAGAGGTCGCCCTCCTCGCCTGGGCGCGCCCTCTTGTTGAGTCGGGCCTGTCCCTCAACAGGAGGAAGATTCAAACACAGTACACACAAATAGTCTTGGGAGGATTTGCCGATTCTGTCTTAACTACTTCTGAAGATTCTTCGGCTATGTTCCATTGGTCCTCCGAAGCCCGCCTGTAGGAGGACACGCCCGACCTACAGTGGGGGCCCATGCCAAGAATCACCCTGTTTGCCTCCAGGGTGCCCTGGGTTTCTTGGGTTTCGATGGTTTTGCCATGGAAAGCGCGACATTCCCACACCAAAAATCAATGGACGTCCTGGGGTCTCAGGGTTGGGTTTCTTGTGGAAGCTTTCTTGTGGACTGGCCTCCACTGTAACCCTTGCGCGTGTGTCCTCAGGACGACGCCATCTCGCCAGTGCGCTCGTCGGCCAGGACGGCTGCGCCAGGGCTGCCGCCACGGTCGCCCGAGGGGGCGGGAGGGCAGGGAGGGAGCGCGCCGTGGCCGAGCAGGCGAGGCAGGGCCTTGCGAGAATCGAGGCGCCGTTCGTCCTCGTTCCCTGGCCACCTCCCTCCTCCAGCCTCCTTCCTCCTTTTCGCCCAGCCTCCAGCATCCCTCCTCTCTCTCCTCCTGTTCCTTCTCCTCCTCCTCCTCGTCCTCATTTCGGTCTCCGGCTGGGCCAGGCGGTCAAGAGGTCGAGCGGCACCGTGCCGAAACGCGACCAGCAAGGGGCCTGCCCCCCTCCACACTCACCCCGTCCCAAAGGAGGCGCGCAAGCAATACAACCGCTACGTCGGAGGTCTGGGGGTGAAGCGAGGCAGTGCGGATCTCTGTTGTCGCGGATCCCGCGAGCGCGCGGGTCGGGCGGCCCACGGGCACTGGACAGCGAACTCTGCACCGCAAGAGGCGGGGAGAGGAGAAGCAGAGCGGCCGCGGAGGGGAGCCGCGGGCGGGGGGGGGGCAGGCGCAGACCAGCAGGAGAGAGCGAGGCGCCGCACGTCGCGGAGGGAGCGAAGGGCGGAAGGCGGCGGGAGGCCCGGGCCGCCCTGCCTCCTTCGGGAGAGGGCGGGCGGCCCTCGGTGGCGCGCACGAGGGGGGGCAGGGGGAGAGGGGGGAAGGCTTCGTAGAAGGGGGCTGCTCCTTCGAAGGCGCGGGCCTCACGTCTGTAGACAGGGCCAGCGCCTTCTGAGAAGCGGGGGTTCTTCTCTGAAGCCTCCCCCCCGAGCCCCATCTCCCCCATTTGCGCGCCGCCAAGGCTCGTTGTGAGTGGATGTGGGCCAAGCGGGAGAACCGCCGCCGTCTCGACTCGCCCTGCTTCGATATAAGGTCTAAAGGGCTGGCTCCTTCATGACAAGGAGGTGTCTTCGTCCGTGTTGCCTAAAGACTCACGTATGGGCATACAGCTTAAGGACATACCCAGCGAGATCAGCGCTTTGAGGAGGCCCCGTCATCCGTATTCCTAGTTGTTGGGACCTCCACTTGTGCAGCAGCTGCAGTTTAAAGGAGGGGAGGGGAGGGGAGGGGGAGGGCAGGGAGAGAAGGAGAAGAAGGAACAGGATAGTAATGGTTAGGATAAGAAAGAGGAGAGGAGAGAGGGGGGGAGGGAGAAGAGGAGGAGGAAGTGGAATGGGAGGGGATAAGTATCAGGAGGGGGGAGTAAGGGAAGAGGAGGACCAGCAGCAACGGCAGGGAGGAGGAATGAAGAAGAGTGAGTGGCAGGAGGAGGAGAAGGAGTAGGGAGGAGAATGAGAAAGAGGAGGAGCCAGGAGGATTAGGAGGATGATCGCCCAACACGGCATGGCGGATCTTCCCGCCCGAGGTCTCCAGACGATAGTCATTCCTTGCTCTTCAGCGCCAG